TTACCCCTCCTACTAATTCTGCAAGAACCGAGACCCCAAAATATTTATAAATATGGATATTTTACCAGGAAAGCATTTGGAAGAAAATGTGATGGAGTGGAGGTTGCAGGAAATGCTGCTCTGGCTGGGGAGGCACAGCTCTGGAAGAGCACATGTGCTGCTCTGCTTTCCTTTGGATATAGCTGATGCTGCTCTCTCAATGGTTTATGGACCATATGTGAACCCAATAAAAATTCCACTAACCCTAAGCCATTCCAGGACACCTGATTCCCCACATCAGTTTACTGCTGGTTTTCTTTTCTTTTCTGGAAAATCATTTGTGGCGCAAGAAACTTCACATTAGTTATTTCATGATTTTCGGGCTTGTTCCCACCCTCTTCGGATGTGGCTGCATGCACAGGCCTTGACCCACAAAGAGCAATCGATGAGTATGAAGGAACTTCTTTTGGCCGTTGGGTCTCTTGGCTTCACTCTCTCTCGGTCCATTCCACCCTGTGTCATTTCCACATCACCAGTGTCGTCCGGTGCTCCCTCACAGTAAGCTTTTGCCTCCTGCTCTGAGAGCTCTAGGCTCTTGTTGCTGGGAGCCATCCACTATTTTTTGGAAAGCGGATCGAAAAATCCCGTGTGCCGGTGGAGTCTGGTTTATGCCTGGAGCGTCAAGGCTGAGCTCAGAGCCCAGCAGGAGCGGCCGGTATTTTGTATGTGTGCCCACAGAGGCTAACAGGTCCCCAGAGGAGCCGGTGTGGGGTTCCACCTCTGAGTGGTGGGTTGGGGGAGAGGAGGGGATGCCTGTGCGGGGGGTTCCCTTCCAGAATGGCACAATGAAAGTGCGAGGAAAGAGGAGCAGAGTGGCAGCGAGAGCAGAGAAACCATCTTAATCGCAGTGCCTTTCTCGTGGCACCGTCTAGCGCCCATAGGGTGCAGGCTTTCGGCATCCCCACACACAAAGATGATGAAATCCTGAACATCTGGAGAAAGAGGAGGAGGGAAAATAACGTGGAAAGGTGAATCTCCAGGAGAAGGAGCCGTTTCTGTTGGGGGAAGTGAAGCAAGGGGAAGGGCGCGCTCAGAATTGCCAGGCAGGGAAGTGCCGTTTGCGCAAAATCACCACCGAGACAGGCACCAACCCCCCCTCTTGGGGGCATTCCCCTATATTTTGTGTGGTGGCTGGTAGTTGCCAGTGCTGCTAGTAGCCTCGAACCTCTGATGGGTTTATTGTAAGCTGTAATGAGGTGGTTGGATGTGATGGTTCATAGAACCTCCTGTATTAAATAGCCCTGTGAGTTAGGCCAAGAGCGGGGGCTGCGCTGGCATTGGGCTCATTGCTCAGCAGACGAGAGGCACAGCACTGTCCGTAAAGCGAAACACCCAAAAGCAGGACCCACAGTCCTAAAAAGGGAGCAGATATTGAATCAATGACTTTCCGGGCTCACTCCTCGCAGGTCAGACTGGCCAGGACTTCACTTGCCTGCTCTCCTCTAACATTGTTCAAGTTAGTTTTTGGTGTGTTTGTTTTTTTTTGTTTGTTTGTTTTGTTTTGTTTTGTTTTTTTGTTTAAAAAAAAAAAAAAAAGCCAAAACTTGCCCATATTCCCACCTGAATTTCCACCTGAACTCTCCCTCTGACCCCCAAAACTCCCTCTTAGCCCAGGCTATGCTCAGTGCGTGAGACATCTGTAATACCTGTTTCTTCCTCACAACAGGTCTACCTGCTTTTTCTGGTCTGCAGTCCTACATCTTCTCTTGACTTTTATCTGAGTTCCTGGTGTTGTCCCTTGCCTGTTTGTTTTGTTTTGTTTTGGTTTTTTTATGATGTGGGCTCTCTCCGCCCCAATAAACAGATGAGGCCAGGTCTGTCCTGCTGTGGGGGCCAATGCAACTTTCTCAGCTCTATGAGCTGCAGGTCTGCAAAAGCAGCACATAAACACTGGCCTTTTGATTGGGAAGATAACAAATTCAGTGTAATTTGGCCCCTGCTGTAAATTCATAGATAGACAGAAAATTAATGCTGAAACCCAGAGAAGGAGCATGGATTCGTTTAGAGCAGAGAGCCACCATGTGCAGTGAGATCTCTGATGCAGCTAACAAGGAAGGAAATAAAAGGACTGCAGGCTAAGATAAGCAATTTCCAGGCAGATGCTGCCACAGACCAGCTGGATCCAACCAGCTGAGCCACCAGCACTAGAGCACTTAGTGGAAGGAGGAAGATCAAAAACTAAAAACATGGTGTTTGAAGAACTCACAATTAACAAGGCGCCAGAGGTGGGAGCCCTCTGTGGTACAGAGATCTGTGAGAGTAATGAAGCTTCATTTCTATTGTGGTTTTGGATTTATTTTTTGAATGGGCATGCCTTGAAGTTGTTTGTGAATGGTTAGAAAGTGATTAGCAGATTTTTGTCTTTGTGCGTTGGTTAACCTGTTGCAGAGTCACCAAGTCAGCAGGTTGTTTTTAACAGTTTGACCTAGTAAGGCTGCAGCCATGCCTGAAAGATGTTTTGGGGAGCATGTATAATCAGATTAAAAAGCTATAAGATCATGCACAATTCTGCTTAAAACCTCGGGAAGTCCTTTAGCCTCAAGTTGCTGTGATGGAGTAAGACTGTTCCTGCTTCTTCCCCTGGGCACCTGCCCCCAGAGCTGTTGGGGGAAGAGGCTCGATGAGCTTCTAGCTGTCCATGGCTCCTGTGTATGTAAGATGTTTACAGGTGAGTTTTCCAAGGGTGCCCAGCCTGGGACATCCACACGTGTAACCCAAGCAGCTGAGAGGGCCAGCCAGGCCGAGCATTTGCAGGGCTGGATGGTGTGTTATACCTGTGCCACTACCAAAGCAATCGCCGGACCAGGATTCTTCTCCACATAGATGAGATCTTCCAGTACGTGGGGTGTCGGGCCAGTATCTTGCAGCCAGTATCAAGCCCCACCACTGTGGTTGTCTTGCCGGCAGGACCCTGAAGCGGACAAGTCAGAAGGTCTGATTGCAAGCACAGCAATGAAAGCGAGATGGAATTGCAAGAACGAAAATAAAGGGGAAGAGAGGCAGAACAGAGACCCCATCCCAAATTCAGGGGTACATTCTCTGCTCAGGCAGCTGTATTTAGGGTGCTCACTGTCATGTGGTGTTGATCTGCTTAAAAAAAATTTTGCCAAGTATTTTTTGCAGAGGGATCAGTTTCCCTGCAGGCGTTCCCCATAAGACTGGCAGAGCACAGAAAGCACTACTGGGTTAGGAACTGCTTAAATTGGTGCTGCTCCTCAGAAGAGAGAAAGACCCGGTGGTACCTCTCCTCCCTCAGGGAGCACCTGGTGTTGGAACGATAATGCAAAAGAAGACTGTGAACTTTGAAAAGGGCCAACTGCAGCTGGAAGCGAGAACCTGTTGGAGCTCATTAAAAGGCAAGTGTAAACATCAATACAAATGAGGGGTAGATCTTGGCTTCCCCACAGGCTTTTATCTTGCAGAAACTCCGTGCTCTGTGGATGAGAGGCTGTTTTGCAGGCGAAGGGAATAAAAGAGTGTTGCCTCACCTTTCATCCCACAAAATTCAAGCAAAGGGAAACCCTAATTTGTGTGTGCTGTGCCACTGGTTAGACAGTGCTGCCTGGGTTTTAGAGGATGGCTTGGTGGGTGTTGCTTTCACAAGCGATGCCTACATAAATAGCTCTGCCTCCCCCTTCCCCCCCGCCAGTGTGTGATGGTCTGGCTGTGCAACAAACCAAACTGCAGAACTGGTCTGGCTTCAAAAGAAACTCACCAAAAGATAAACACAGTTACTTCAAACTCAGACCAGTTCCTCGATCCAGTTCATTTCAAGCCCTCATAAAGAGCCGAGCAAGCATCACAAGGTGGGGGAGGCTCTGCTGGCATTGCCTCCAAAATCGACTTAAAAACACGCACAGCCTCATATTAGGTGCTGATACCTTGAGGGCTTCTTGCCTGCCCACTGGGGCTGGGCAAGGCAACGTGCAACTGGATCACCCAATTTTACCACACAGTGATGGGCTCTCCCACCTGTTTTGGGGAGCCTGAGAGCTCCCAGCTGAGCTGTGCACTGTGTGCTGTGACCTGGTTAACCCCTCTTCCTCGAGAAGCAGCTCAGTCAAGAGGAAGTTTTCACTGTTGAGAGAGTTTAACCAGAAGCCAGGCACTGCCAGCTCCCTGCAGACTCAGGGCACACGTGGACGTGTCTCCCAAGGAAAGGTGGGCGGCAGAAGGGGTGCTTGTCTGCACAGGGGCACCTCTGCTGTGGCTCTCGCTCTGGTCCTGGCCATGCTGCACTTGCTGCTGCCTTTGCAGGCATGTGAATGCCTCTCCAGCAGCGCTCAGCCATGCCCGAAGCGCACCCCGCACTCTTGCAGGGCAAGGCACCCCCTTGCACCCATATTCCCAAGGCACCACGAGGAAGGAGGGGGATGAGGACCCTCTCTGGCATAAGGCATGGCATAGGAACAGCCACCCCTTCCAGCTGCCTGGATTTCAGTCTAACCTGATGATGAAATCCCAGCCTCAGCCACGCTGCGAGCATCTCTGTTACAGCTTCCTACGCGTAGCTCTGAGCTAGAGCTCAGGGTGTCAGGCAGACACACAATACTGCTTGCATGCTGATTGCTTGACTGTTTTTGCTCATACGTGTTTTTGTGGCCCTTGCCTTTTCCAGTTGTCCCTTGGCAGGCTCTAGTTACAGTATTTTGTTGGTGGTGAGGGATGAGGAGGAAATCCCCCCTTGCTTTATTATTTCAGTAAGTAGTACACAAATCCCTGTGTGCCATTACAGTGTTATGAAGTTTAATCCACCTGAAGGGACTGCTGTATGCCACAATTCCTTCGTGTTTTCCCACTGACTCCTAGAGATCTCCAGGGTCTCGCTGGTATAATCCTTTAATAATAATAATAATTCTTACCTCCAAAAAATAATTTCCTCCCTTGGCTCCTGGGATGGGCAAGGCATTAAAATCTGCCTGTTGTTTTCTAATCATACTTCTCCTTCCTTTAACTGCACTCACGGTTTCCCACAGAAATACTCTGTTCTTTTGTGCTCTCATTTCCCAGCCCTTCAGAGGAGATTTGCATCCCCAGAGAAATCTCACGCAGCCTCAGAGACAGCCTCAGCTTCTACACTGGAGCCTAAATATACTGGTCCTGGACTGCCCCGCTGCTTTCCTGCTTGTTCTCCCACTGAATCCAAACGCTGGCCTGCAATAAGAAATCCTGCTTAGCCCGGATAAACGTTTTGTTCAAGTGCTGTGCAGTATCACGTACAGCGTGCGCTGCCTCGCCGATTGCACAGGAGCTGTGGGTCACACCTGCGTTATCTTGTGCACCTTCTGGAAAAAGAAAATGACTGAGTCACACAGTTGCCTGTCTGATAGTTGCCAAAGGCTGGATCCTGTGAGCACTGAAGCAAAGGTAAAGCTACCTCTGACTTTATGGCACAGGACACGATCCCTGAAAGAATCCATGCCGAGATACTGCTGAGTACACAGCACAGCCCTGCGAACTCACAGCCCAGCTCTTGTCCTGAGGCTGAAATCTCCTCCTCCTAATCCTTCCTCTACCTTTTAAGCAAGCAGCTTGGGTCACCCTCTCAGCTGCTGAAATCCATCAGTGTGCAGGAGCCCTGCCTGGGGGCACTGCTAAGAATAGTGTTTAGGAGCAAGGGGAAGAGAGGAGTGAGCCTGGAAGGGGTTTGGCCACTGCCACCAGCACTTAGACCCTTCCTTGTTTCCTACAAGCGATGCACGCAGCTTCATGCGGTGCTCTCGTCTGACAGTCTTCTGACCCTCTGAATACTGAAGTCAACGGCACAGCTGCAGAAAGCCCAGTGCCCTTGCCTTGCTATGGCTGTAAGATCCCGTCACTGCTGCCCTCACCTCGCGGGCTAACGCTGCCGGGAGCGCAGGGTCTCACCTGCCCGTCTCCACGGACCGAGCCGCGGGCTCCCGAAACAAAGTGCAAATTAATCTCTTAGAAGCAGCCGTGTATCAGCAAAATGCCATAGAAACCACAGCTGCGTTACGGAGGGCCTTTTCCCTGGCATTATGCAATTATGTAATTATGTAAGTTGGCGTTATATAATATTCCTGGCTTTTTCAGCGCGCCAGGCTCCCCCCTCCCTGCCTGCTCCCCTGGCACAGCGGCGTGTACCACGCTTATGCCACACCACACTTTACATACCCCAGGGCCACGGCAGAGCTGGGGCCACCACCGCTGCTCCCAGCTACAGGACCCTCGGTTGCCCTCAGGGTACTTTTTTTTTTTTCTTTCCAATTGTATTGTAGGGGAAAAGGCTCACTGAGAAGCAAAAAAAAAGTATTTGGTTAAAAAATCTGTTTGTCCCTCTGAGCTGTTTTGCTGTGTAAGCACACGGATGGTTTGGATTGTTTCTTGAGGAAAACGGACTGGTGTGGGGAGCATCTCTCTCCTCCTTACTGGAAAGTTTATTACATGAACTTACTTCAAATGAAAAAAAAAAAAAAATCTACAATTTCTGCTAGTGCCTCTCTCTTAGGTGCACATTTCCCTACTTGCAGCAGGTCTGGCTGCAGAGAGGACAGGGCTAGAAATCATCAGTGATGTGTTATATTAACTGCCAAGGCAATGTGGTGGACTGCTCGTCTCTCTGATGTTCACTTTACAGGTCAGGGTTGGATTTCTCTCTTCACAACAGCGATACTCTAAGGAAAAAATTGAATGTGCCCAAACAGACTTGGAGCTGGTCCCTCCCTGTGGCTGGTGAGTGATTCCTACCGTGCCTCCCGGCTCTGTCTGGATGGCTGTGCCCTGTATTAATAACCACTAAACAGCTGGTGTTTCTAAAACCATACCCAAGGGCCTGTCCTTGCTCTCTGACTGGTGTGTCTGTGGTCTCAAGCAAGTCGTAGAACTTCTCTGGTCCCTCACAAATGGGGAAAAGAAGCGGCTTTTCCACTCGTGGGGTTGTGGCGTGGTCTAAATTAATGCTTGTAGAGAGGTTTGCCATCCATTAAGGGAAGAGCAAGGCAGAGGTGAGATTGCATCCACCACGTTGCCAGAAACGGCTCTTCCCCTGCCTGCTGTGCCCATTCGATGGGAGGACCTTTCCCAAGCACCTTTTGGTTGTGTTTTGGGGTAGAAACAAGCCCCATGAAGCCACTAGGACAGCCTTCCTCTTTGGCAGGACCCCGAGGCTCAGCTGTGGCTCTGCTGCTGTCCCGCAGGGTGTCCCCCTGCCCCGATCCCCCCTCTCCAGTGCTCGAGGCTGGGGGGGAAGGCGCAGCATCCTCCCCACGCCAGCGACCTGCCGCAGGGCTGGGACCAAAAGCCGCCCCGACGCCGGCCCTTTCCGAGGAAAACAGACCGCCTCTACACCCCGCACTAAAACCCGAGCCCCTTCCAAAAGTTCTGCCATCTGCCCCCCCCCGAACCGCGGCGAGAGCCCGGTGGTGCTGCCGGACACCGGGGATGCCACAGTCCTGCGTGTCCTGGGGTCACTCTCCTCCTGCCTCCGAAATTTGAATGGCTACACGCTGGCCACCTCCCCGAGCCTCCAAATCCCCCCCCCCCCCCCCCCCAAGGGGCTTGGACGTGGCCTCCAGTCCCCGTGGCTTTGTCGCCCGTGGCCACTAGATGGTAGCAAGCCCTGGCCGACGGAGCCGGGCTGCTGCGGCACCTCCTGCCCGGGCCGGGGGGTCCCCAGGCTGGTACCTGTGCCGGGTGGTCGCGGTCCACCCGTGTATGTGTGTGTGTGCGGGGGGGGCTTTGCAACGAGGACACACAGCACCCCAAGACGCGGCCAAAATTATTAACGCGCTGTCTGAGCCGGTTTCAGTGAGCGTGCCTTAGGTGGGGGTGCAGACGCGTGGCATGGCTCTGGCAGGGCCAGTGGTGGTTGGAACGGGTTATTCAGTCATCCGTCTCTTTTTGGAGGGAGCAGCCCCTGTGTTGGCTCTCTGTAGTTGGCGTTTATCAAGACGATTATACAAGTGATAGATTTTTGCCCCGAGGGGGAAAGGAGAGGCCTGTAGATACTAAAATGTTACGTCCTTTTCATGGCTGCAGGGTTGAGGCGCAGTCTGGTGCGCTGTAAAGCTTTTAGTATTTCTGCAGACTAGGGAGAAGAGCTTATGATTTAATTTTATTACAACTTGACTTGTAAAAAAAGCAATATGGAATCCCATACTCCTTTTAAGCCTTCTGACCATTTAATATTAATGTCCATACCAGGACTGTTGGCTTCACAGCCCCGGGGAAAGCTACAGAGAGCCAAGAGTTGACCAACTTAAAATGAAGTTATTACAGCAACTGAGTTGTTTCAGCTTGGGAAATATGGCAGGGCTCAGTGCATAAGCAGCAGCCTCTCATGTACCAGGAGCACATTTCTGTCATGTCTGAAACGCATGTAAAACAGTAAGGTCAGTATTCAGGATCCGACCCAAGGCTGAGCCTGGGACCATGCAAATGCTTGTTTACTGCTCTAAGTACTTGGGGAGTGAGGCTGCAGGTGTGTGAGCTCTCAGCCCTGCGCTGTGGAGAACATGAGGAACGAGCTGGAGGGGTTTTAAGCCAGCTTCCATCAGTTTAGCTTAACTTGGGTAACTGATAGCAGCCTGGTGTTCGCGCAAGTAAATCGGGATGAAATCTTGGCCTTGAAGTGTTTAGAACGTGGATTTTTGGATGTGAAGCAAACTGGTGCATAGAGGAGGGAGAAGGGGAGGATTGCAGGGTCAAAGGCTGACTTGGCTGACAGAGGCTTGCAGCAGGTAACGGCCAAAACTCCCTTACCTCTAGTCTTGGATACTCGCTGACACCTCCATTTGGCTTTTGTCACCCTTCTTACCCAAACCATTCCCTTTAAACCTGTGTGTTTCTGAGGGGTGCGAGGCTCTGTGCCTCCATCCCCCTCACTGCCTGGTTATCCTTGTACGTGGGCACCTCTCCCCCCTTGCAAGGCTGGAGCAGGGACACGGTTCCCACGTCGAGTGGGATGGGTAGATGGGTGCAGAGGCAGCGATGCACCTCAGGTCCTGCAGCACTGTGGTAGGGACGGTGGGGTTGCACACTCTTCTCCTAAGCCCCAAGGCAGGTGTCTTCAGCCCTTGGTTAACATTTCTCGCCTGCCAAAGCCTGTGGTGTGTGCCCTTTTGGAAACGTCCAGAGCTAGGTGCGTGCTTCGGAACAGCAGTGCTGGCTGGGCTTTGTTATCGGGCTGGGCTCTGACTGCAGTCACCCCCTGGAAGGGGCTAATCACCCCGCTGGTGTGACAGGCCGTTATCAGTCCTGATGGCGCCGGAGGAGAAAGGCTGGGAGGTATCCCAGAGCATTCCCACATTGATTGTCAGCCCAGCAGCTTTTCCTCCCAGCACTGCTATTTGGCTTGACAGAGGTAGCCAGAGACCTTAACTGCTGGCTGGGTGCATGCTGAGTGAAGCCCTGCCGTGTCCTTCTGTCCCTGGCCTGCTGCAAATTACCCTCCTGGCTCAGCTGTACGTCCCTTGGCTCCGATATCCAGGCTCAGACAGCAGCTAATCCTGGGCCTTCCCCGCCAAGGCAGGCAGAAGGACCCCAGCAGGCTCCCATACAGCTTTTATCCCATTTCTCCCTGTTGCAGAGGCTGGGGAGATGACTGGGCCGCTTTGAATATGGTTAGCTCTTAAGGACATGTCTCTTCTAACACTGTGCTCTTCTCTATTAGTAAGTGGTGTGTGTTCCTCCAGGGAGAAAGGAGAGTGAGATCAGCATGGGAAAGGAAAGGCCTTCGGAGACAGTCACTGGCTGTCCTGGCCTTTTCTCCTGCCTGCCCTTGGCAGGCCAGGGGAGAGGGAGGCAAGGTGGCCCTGCAGATGACAGCCCTCTTCAGTAATCTCCTGCCATACAGCTTGACACTGTCTCTGGGTCATCGGGAACCTGGGACAGGCTCCTGGCACTGTGTTTCGGCAGTGCCCTTTCTGTCTAGAGTGGGACATGTGCCAGTCCAATACGAAAAGCAGAAATGATGCCATCCGCTGCACCCACAATAGCACCTGACCCAAAATAGCTTCCTAGAAAAAAATAGGGAGGCTGATTAGGTTAGACAATCCTGAAAGAGAGCAGGACGTCCAGCTGACGATTGACAGGTGTAGGTCTGTGAGCAGGGGCTATAAATCCCACGGGTGAGCTCTCCAGCCACCCTTTTGGGGAAAGGCAAACGGTTGTGGGGAGCACTCAGCACCTGCCTTCGGTGAACCATGGGGCTCAGTGATCAGGAGTGGCAGCAGGTCCTGACCATCTGGGGAAAGGTGGAGTCCGACCTCCCTGGCCACGGGCATGCAGTTTTAATCAGGTAGGGGAGAAGTTTCAGTCCTAAGAGTAAAGCTGAGAGATTTTGATGAGAAACCAAGGAAGGTGTATATTTAGTATGGGGGCTTGTGTTTGGCAGTCTTTATTACAACAGGCAGTTTCATTTGTTGTTGGGTGGTGGTTTTTCCATTACTACGGTTTCTGGGTTAAAAATTACTCACTGTGTAAAGTGGCTGTGCTTCTGTCTCTCCATCTGTTCGTGAGTGCAGGAGCAGGCCAGTGCTGCTTTCAAAAGATGGTGGGACTTTTGTCACTCCCTCTGCCTCCGCTGGCAAAGCTCTGCTTCAGATCCTCATTGCCCAAGCACCGTGGCAAGAAATGCTGGAGTGAATTGTGTGTCCTGGGCCTTCAGATGCTCTGCGGCAAGGATGTTGGGGGGGCAGGGAAGGAAGGGAGAGGAAAATCACCTCTGTGACGATTTTCTTGGAATCGATGATTTCAGTAAAATTAACTGTGAATTACTGGAGTGTTTCCCTCTCCTCACCTTAGTCTCAGCTGGCAAAGCCCTGCCCATCCTGCTTTTTGTCCAGAAGTCTGGGTGGTGACAATTGTCCACCTCCTGATGATGAATTTGAAGTCTGGATGTGAAACAAGGCACGTTCTTCCTCCTGTTTCCTTCCTCCACGATTCTGGTGTCAGAATGGGAGTGCTTGTGAGGTCTCCATCTGAGAGGACCCCTGTCCCCATGCTGTCCCCAAGAGGGGAGCACCCTGGGGGCCAGCAGCAAGTCACAGAAAAGCAAACTGGAAGGGATCTCAGGGTGGCAGAGTGGGAAACAACGTTGGGTAGGCATTGGATCCTAGCCTGTCCTTAAAGACCAGCAGGGATTGAGACTTCGAGGAGACTCTCTCCTGATCTCCCCCTCAGCCTGTGTGCGGTACGATGTGCTGGAAGGGTGAGGATGCTGAGGAGAGCAGTGGGGATACGGCACCCGCTTGGGGGGTTTCCTAGCCTAAGCACAGCTAAGGGAAAAGGAGCCAGCACCACCAGGAAAATCCACTGAAAAGCTCCGAAAAGCTCTTTCAACGATGACACAAAGCAGGGGGGCTGTTTTATTTACCTTCTTTATCACGGCTCAGTTCAGCTGCGATTTGAAGGAAAAGGAGAGATGGGGGCAGCTGGGTGGCAACATGATGGCTCTCCCCTCATGCGGTCCAGAGCAGGCGTGCTGGTGGGGTAGCAGGAACATGAGCCCTCCCCACCAGTTCATCTCTGTGAGGTGGGTACTTTGGCTCTGAAAGTGCCACAAGACAGTAAAAGTGGTTTCCAACTGAAAAGGTAGTACCATTTTTCTCACAGGTATCACCTGGCAGAGCATGGCATGAAATATACAGATGACACCCCTGTGACTTTGTGCTCCCCAGCCAACCCAGGTCATTTCTTGTTCCTTCAAAGGGTTTCTGAGGGAGGAGAAAGGCAAGGAAAGCACAGCAGCTCTTTGTTTAGAAATATGTCCATGTGTGCATTGTTAAAGAGTTCTTAGGTACATGTCACATCCTGGGAATATGTTTAGAAAATACTGGTTCAACTGGATGTTTTCCAAAGGAAACAAAAAAGTATTCCTCAGAAGAATTTTCAAGAGTCTTGGGAGTTCATCATCTTTGGCAGACACGATACAGCCATAGCCAGACACGGTGGAGGGAGATTTTTAGAAATAACTCCATCCCATTTAAAGGTGCAAGTTTTTTCCATCTCTCCGGGTAGGACACAACCTGTGTCACAGAAAGGTACAGGAAAAAAAGGAAAGGCTGATGTTGGTGTGCTCAGCACCTGGTAGAGTACAGATATCCTTTGGAGACCTTTGAAATTAAATGTTAGCAAAGACCGGTCACTCGTCTACAGAATATTTTTGCCACAGAACAGCTTGTGTTTCCATATGCCCGAGGTATCTGTTAGTGTAGTTTAACCTGTACTTACATCATGCAGTGGAGAATCTGGCCCTCATGGCAACATACTTAGGAGGAATGTCCAGTTCTAGATGGGATGCTTACCCACTTGCTCCCAAGGACTCTCTGAGGTGCCACAGTTCCCGATGGAGGAACCACGCTGCTGGCAGCTGGGCTGAGCTGGGGGGTGGGAAAAAGGGGCAGGAGCCAAATTTCTCTGTGTCTGCAATCACAGGGTGGGGGACACAGTAAGCTCTCCCATTCAGCTGATGTTCAAGAACACCTGAGCTCCAGATGTGAGGGACCCGAGGCTTGGGGACTGCTCCCTTTTTTGTGTGCATGAGAAGCCTCTGGCACTCTCCTTTCCGGATTAATGCAGATATGGAATGGGAAGAGGATCCTGGTGAGACCCAGGGGTCTCCAGGTTCGCTCCTAAGCAACAGTAAGTCAGTGAAGATAGGTGGTTTTGTTTGGTTTTGGGTTTCCTTCAGATGAGTGCAAGAACTCACCTCTCAGTACCACAACGTGCCTTGGCTCTTGTCTCTGTCTTAATACAGTTGACATAACCTAGGGGACTGGTGCCAGTGAGTTGGCAGAGCTATTAAAAAAAAAAAAATATAGACACTTGCTCTGTTGCTCTAGTTGGATGTGTTTAGGGCAGTGCCTCTGTCACAGCCAAAGGGAATGGAAAAAGACTGCAGTGATCATGTTGGGACATGTGTAAGAGGATGGAATTAAAGTAGATACAATACTCCAAGGTAGGTATGTCAGGAGTTTCTGCTCGCTAAAGACAAGAGGCTTTTCATCATTTGTTAATGATAAAAAGCAGCCTGTACAAAATAAACAGGAAGGAAACTTCTGCACACAGAGTGCTATCAGACTGTGGAACACCCTACCAGGGGAAGGATGAAAACCATGTAAACCAGATTCAGAGTAGGGTCAGATGCTTCCCTGGCTTATATACATGCTAAAAGGAGTGATTGTGAATGGTGATAATTTGGAAATTATCTATAATGTCCGAGTTCCCAGGTTAAAGCAGTCTCTGCTAGCAGGGACTAGCTAAGAGCTTGCTTTGGGAAGGTAAGTGGTTTAGCACACCTTTGCCTGTCCACAGACTCTGAAATACCTGGAGCAGCTGGACCTCAGCTCTGGTCTGGATGACAGCTCTCTCAAGTGTCACAAGTCCCTCTACCTTTGTCCACAGACTCTTTCAGGACCACCCTGAGACCTTGGATCGCTTTGAAAAGTTCAAAGGCCTGAAGACCCCTGATCAGATGAAGGGCTCTGAAGATCTGAAGAAACATGGAGTTACCGTCCTTACCCAACTGGGAAAAATCTTGAAGCAGAAGGGTAATCATGAGTCAGAGTTGAAGCCCCTGGCTCAAACCCATGCGACCAAGCACAAGATCCCTGTCAAATATCTGGAGGTATGGAGAAGGGCAGGGAATCTTGGTGTGTTGAATGTGTGTAAGACAACTACGTGAGAGCTGCGGTTTTATTTACTGATGGCTAGTTGGACTTCAGTGAGCTCTCCCTCAAGTCCAAGGTCTATGTGTACAGGCAGGAGGAGGCACAGAAAGGGTGAACGGTATGCGAATGGTATGCAAATACCCAAGTTTAGATTTCCCATTCCAAACACCACATGCAGTCTGAGCAACCCTTGACAATAATAAACCAGCCCAGGCAGCCTCTGCATGCCTGGGAAACTACATTACATAAGAACTGTCAGTGTCTGGACACGAGGGACATACAATTTTAGAGTAAGCCCTGGAGGATCCACTGGAGACCAGGACCCACAAAACTAAGTGTTAGCCAAACACAGGGCACGAATTTTCAACCTTAATGGATGAGGCAGACAAAGAGTGGGTCTGCTCAAGGTCATGAAGCAGATCAGCGTCAGAGCTAGGAATAGAGCCCAGTTCTTCTGCCCGGCCCAGGCTCCTTGCATGCTAGACCTTACTGTCTCTCCAGAGACTGTGGAAAGGGCTACTGAATTAGCTCAGAGATATTTCCGGGCTCTGCAACCTATTTCTTAGTCCGGCTTTTCTGAAAAGAAACCTTGAGTGTCCCTTCAGCTTCTCTCTCTCTCTTTCCTTCCTCACAGTTCATTTCTGAAGTCATTATCAAGGTCATTGCCGAAAAACACTCTGCAGACTTCGGGGCTGATTCCCAGGCTGCGATGAAGAAGGCCCTGGAGCTGTTCCGAAATGATATGGCCAGCAAGTACAAGGAGTTCGGATTCCAGGGTTAGCACATACGCACAGAGGAACACCACGATGGAGGCCTGGCCATGCATCTTAGAGTAGCTTCCCCAGCACTGTTTTGGACATCTCACAATTGGCCATCCAAGATGTGTGGGAAAGCTTTGATGAGAGGCCAAGAGTCACTCCAGGCAGCGTAGAGGCACTCAGAGTGATATCCATGATAAACCGCTGTTTCCTGTCTTCATGTATACAAGAGAAATAATTTGCTTTCTTAGGAAAAAATAATGTAAGGGGTTATCTGTGAGCTTCTGCCTATCCTACCCCCTTTTTCTTTCTCCCTCCCTGAAACCCAGTCTCATCGGAGAAGCGAATGGCATGGCCAGAGAAGAAGGGATGTGGAGGAACAAGGGGAGTGTTGAGGAGCGCGGTGAATGAGAGAGTGAAGGGACGACTCAACTGGTGTGAGAGGGATGTCAGTATGGGAAGCAGGGGCACAGCGTCCCACTCTCCCACAGGTGAGACCGTTAGCAGGTTACTGTGAAGAGCTTCCAGCACAGTATTACCTTGCTTTGTGGGGGTGAACGCAGCCAGTCAGTCTCCAGGGTCTGCCAGCTCGGAAACTTGCATTAGTTGCCAAACTCACATTAGCAAAACCATGGAGAGCAGTACTCGCTGCGATCTGTAGGTTTCTGGTAGCCGCCGCTACGCATCTGAAGTTCTGTTGCACTGGGAAGTAAAGTATGTGTTTCTCAGAAAATAAAAGTTCCTGCACCAGTGTCGTGTGTTTGCTCCCAGCTTTGCAGGCACTCCCGTGAGAAGCGGGGGAGGCGCAGGAAGCAGAAAGGCGCTTTGCATACGTATCCGGCTGCACCACATCCCGCGGTGCCGGTCCACGACTTGTGCGACGCGTGGCATCTGCCCCAGCCAGGGCACTCGGGGCACTCAGATGTCACCGCCGGGTCACGACCCGGTTACTGGACTTCACAACACAAAACGGCAGCCTAAACTCGGCAGCTTAAACTCAACAGCCTAAACTCGGCAGCCTAAACTCAGCAGCCTAAACTCGACAGCCTAAACTCGGCAGCCTAAACTCAGCAGCCTAAACTCAGCAGCTTAAACTCAGCAGCCTAAACTCAGCAGCCTAAACTCAGCAGCTTAAACTCGGCAGCCTAAACTCAGCAGCTTAAACTCGGCAGCCTAAACTCGGCAGCTTAAACTCGACAGCCTAAACTCAGCAGCCTAAACTCGGCAGCCTAAACTCGGCAGCCTAAACTCAGCAGCCTAAACTCGGCAGCTTAAACTCAACAGCCTAAACTCGGCAGCCTAAACTCGGCAGCCTAAACTCAGCAGCTTAAACTCAGCAGCCTAAACTCAGCAGCCTAAACTCAGCAGCTTAAACTCGGCAGCCTAAACTCAGCAGCCTAAACTCGGCAGCCTAAACTCGGCAGCCTAAACTCGGCAGCCTAAACTCAGCAGCCTAAACTCGACAGCCTAAACTCAGCAGCCTAAACTCGGCAGCCTAAACTCGGCAGCCTAAACTCGGCAGCCTAAACTCAGCAGCCTAAACTCGGCAGCTTAAACTCAACAGCCTAAACTCGGCAGCCTAAACTCGGCAGCCTAAACTCAGCAGCTTAAACTCAGCAGCCTAAACTCAGCAGCCTAAACTCAGCAGCTTAAACTCGGCAGCCTAAACTCAGCAGCCTAAACTCGGCAGCCTAAACTCGGCAGCCTAAACTCGGCAGCCTAAACTCAGCAGCCTAAACTCGACAGCCTAAACTCAGCAGCCTAAACTCGGCAGCCTAAACTCGGCAGCCTAAACTCGGCAGCCTAAACAACTCGGTGCCTCGGAGCTGAGAGAAGCGCTCCCTGACTGAAGGCCACGGCCACCGCCGTGCTGGGGGGAGCGCGGTGAGGGAAGGCCCTTTGCTTATTTATGGGGAGGGAGCACGTGCAAGCGGCCTGGGGTCCCAGCAGCAGCACGGTGCACGGTGCGTTGCTCCCTCCAGGCAATGGAAAGCAGAGCCGATGAGCCCAGGAGGAAGGCTGCAGTGGCGGTGTACGCTCTTAAGACCCAAGCTTTGGCCTCTGGACCGGTTTGCATTTTTTGCTGAGGTGTCTCTGCAGCGCATGCTGCACTGTGTTTGCAGATGGATACCCATGTCCTGCGGGGGAGCTTAAGGGGCAGACCCAGTGGCAAAGCTCCTACCTCTCCCAACCTGCTACCACAGTGAGGTACAAGCGACCTAATTTTACTGAGGGGGGGGGAGAGGCTGAGGGCCACCTTGTCCCTCAGGCTGCCCCAGGGTTAGTCAGAAACGGTTGGAACCTGAAAAGGGGTTTTGAGTGCAGACTTGACCTGACACCCAGGTTCCCAGCAGACTAGCTGACTCTTTGAGAATTGTGCAGTTTCTCTGGCTGCACCTAGTCAGAGGGGCAGTTATACCCCACAGTGAGCACTGGGGTCCTCAGTCCCTCTTCTTCACCCATCCCCATCATCCAGATCAGGGCGTCAGCAGTAGGGTGCTGCAGTCTCTTCTGGCATATGCACTCAAGGTGTCTCCGGGCAGAAAGCAAGGTGCATGAGCAGCATGCTGTCTTTCCGAATATTTGCACAGGGTCGAGAGCATTCACGGCAGGGTCACATCTTGGCACAGCAGCAGGATGCTACAAACAGCCGGGTCGTGGCTGGGGAAAATGTGTGGAGTCGACATGGCCGCTTTTTTCTGGTATGGAGAAAGTAATGCACCTTATCTCACAGGGATAGTGTGAGGGCAAACATGAGAAAGAAAAATGAGGTGCCCAGTATTAGGGCGCTACTGGCAGGGTCTGGTTCAAAGCACTCCCGACTATGCTGTGTGCAATGGAGACAGAGGAGGACTCACCAGCTCCCTTAAAAATCAATCCTGAGCCAGCATGATCTGCCGTGTCTTTGGTCAGGGCAAAGGCCACAAAATTTCAGTCTCTGAAAGGAGAAGGAATTAATTCCTTCCCAGAACAGAGCATCTCTGATTTCTTGCTCTTTACAAATCCTTACTTTACCTCTGGGAGCTTGCTTGGGATTTCAACCTTTCAGAGAGGGTCACAAAAGCATATGCTGTCACCTAGATGAAGTTACAGCCAGGTGGTCCCTGGCTTAAGAAACTTGCTTCGTCTGACTCCAGTCTAGTCTGTCTGCCTTTGCGGGGAGGGCAGCCTATTTAATTAAGGTCTAGGATTGCCTGTCCAACACAATAAAATTTCCTGCCAGTGACAACAAGCTCTGTTTTAGGATTAAAAGCTCTCCTACAGCAGCTGCCTCTGTCAGTCTGAGTGGGACTGGAGTCGTCTCGAAGTATTTTTATGTAGAGCAGTGTGGCACAGGAGGGAGGGTTTGCATATATGTTGTGCCTAGCTACTGGTTATTAGGTATCTGGAATAAATGCCAGTCGACTGGGAGCACTGACCCTTCGCTCTGCCTGCTGTGCCGCACTGTGCCAGTGCAGGAGGGACCATCCTTAAATCTGTGCTGGTTTACACGTGGGGCCTGACGCAGGTTTTCTGGTTGTGCCTACGGCCCGGTGAAAGCGTGCAAGCTGAGATGAACCAGCAAGTTCAGATACCAGCAGGAGTGGAACTCTCCCCGGTGGGCTCAGTGGGTTGGGATGCTTGTGGTGAAATCCACATCCGCACCTTTGCTGCTCTGGGTACCGGGGATGCCCCTGGCTGCAGCCCAGACGTAGCTGTGGGGGTGCAGACCCCCTAGGCCACGTTACGATGTCAGGGCCAGCCAACACTGTGCTGTTCTCTTGGTTACAAGCGCGGTGAGCTGGGACGATCTGGCGCTTTCTTGTCCTCTGTACAAGCGCAAGTGAGTTGGGATGACTAGGCACTCCCCAACCCTACTCAAAAGTGCTGCCTGACAGTGAGTCAGGATGATTAGGTGCTCCCTAACCATACCTGGAGCTCCTATTGCCTGGGAGGGAACCATATCCCTGTGGCCTGAATCATTGCCCGCTCTGGAAGGTACCAGAATTACCTGACAAGAATTATGGCCAAAATGTAAAATTACTGACCAAAATCAATCATCTCGTGATCCTATAAATAGTGACCCTAAATGACACCCTTTGAGCCCTCTGGGATGGCAGCAGACTGAAACCCGGCATCTCCCGCTGCATTGGGACGCTTCTCAGGGCAGATTTCATGAGGATTTTGAAGAAAAGATTTCACGACAACTTCTAAGATCATCCGCTGATAGATGCCGACAAAGGAAAAGGGTTCAAAGATCGTCTGCTGACGAATGCTGATGAAGGAAAATGTAATTCACTACAATTAGATTTTGCGAAGTTTCAAAGGTCATTTGATACCAGTAATTTACTACCATGGGTTAACCTCTATATCTGTCTCTGTATGCATGCGTGTTTGTGTGTGTGCATTCGGTTTAGGAAACTTTATAGTGTTGATTATAACAAATGTTATTAAATCACCCTTATAATTAGCTGATGATTAAGTATCGCTAAAAATCATTCAATCTAATCTTGTGGTTTATCGTAATAGCGTTAATAAATCTCAAATTGCTGCTACCTCAGAATTGTGTAGGATCCATAATCACTCATTCCCCTACAAATTAGCGTAATAACTCAACAACGTATTTTCCTTACCCTTTACATTAATTCCATTAGACATAAACCATTGACCAAGTCTGGGACTAAGACTGGATCTAGCCACGCCTAGACTCCCTTCTGAGAAGAAGTTTAGAAAGCAAGGGGGTCCAGTCTGAACCTCATGACTCAGTGGGAGGGTCTCCCTTACCTTCTGACGTCTTCAGTCTCTGTACAATTCACTTCAAATCAATTCTAACTTGATTCTCCTTTGTACGTTTCTTTCATGTAGTAAGTAATAGAGTGAACCTTGCCATCAAACTTTGTTAAGTTTCACTTTTATAAATTCACATTAAAAATCACTTTTGCTAATACCTTTGACAGTAATTCTTTAAGTGATCTAAAACACTCAGCTGCATCAATAGTGTAGCAATATAGGTAATTCCCACACAGTAAGCCTATGAAGCTCCTGTAACAGCCCCTGCTTTAGTGACAGGGGAAGCTTCCTAGAGGAAAGAGGATGCTGAGGAAGGGATTTTTCAGCTCCATGCTATATTGATTCAGCATCTTTGTTGGAGTGACCCTTTCCACTGTGCTACTAGCACATGTAGCTCTTCTGGTTCATGTATGGGACAAAGTCCCTTAGTGGAGATAAACCATATCAGCGTAAGCCAGAAATTTTCCTGCCTCCTTTCCAGGAATAGCTTTACATAAGTAGGATGGGTCCCAGGGGCTTGTGCCCAGCCTCTCTGCCTGTTAGCACCATTTGGCGTCACATACATGTTCCTGCTCCAGCACGTACACACTGACTACACCCAGGTCAAGATTATGGCTGTCCTATGCTTCCCGTGCACTCCTGCAATTTCTTTTATGCTAATCATGCTGCTTCTGGCAGGTTATGCACCTGCCTCTGCACCTTAGGTTGAAAAACATCCTTGCTGCTTTGCACTTGACATACTCTTCTTCTCCCACTGCCGCGGTTTCCGCTGCATGGCAGAGCTCCCCGTGGCACCCAGCCAGCGACCTCTCTGCCTTCTCTGGGGCTTCGGTGTCAGTCGCCGGCAGCTCACCAGGATCCCAGAGGAGGGGAGCAGGCCCTCGCCTCCCAGGCGCTGTGCCAATGAGTCAGCCCCAGCCAGGGTGCAACAACACTGCAGGCCGCGCTGCCTGCCCGGCACCTTGTCTTTACTTCTGCCTGC